GGAGGGGGGGGAGGGGGAGGGGGGGGGGGGGGGGGGGGGGGGGGCAATTCACGCGCGGCCTTCAAGCCACACGTCCACCTCCAGCAGCACACCGCCGACCGCCTCGCACATAAGCCCTGTACCCTCGTCGACAAGCGTAATGGCTGGGGCGACATTGTCCGGTCGCCGCGACCATCGTAGTCCATCGCTGCCTCCACGAACGGGCACCACGAGGTTGCAACGCCGCAGGCGTGGTTCTTGCCCGTGCTGCCGCGGCTCGCGCGGGCAAGTCGGTCGCTCCCCGGCTCAGCCGCCAACGGGCTTAAATTACAACGACCACCAGTGGCAGAAACTCGCTGCACACTAGTCCCAGTTATGTAGCAGCAGGGCTCGAAAGATACACCAGGCACCGTGTCAGCGTTTTGCCGCATAGTACCGTCCGCGTGGAGTGGCAAGACCATTGTAACGGCGACGGCGCGCGGCCCGCCACGGCAGTTGGGGTTTCATCGTCGTAGCGATTTCAGCCCCCGGCCATCCGCGGGATCAATGCCTGGAAGGCCGACGTCGACCAGGAAAACATTGTCGCGAACCCGCGCCCCTGCTTCCCGTGAAATACCATCGGCGCTCTGCCGGACAACAGGGCCACTGGCGAAGCGCGCCCACTGGAAGTGCAAAATACCATCCCGCACGGTTATTGACAGCCTCCGTGTTTGAACCAGATCAGCACCCCAGCAGGATGCAAGCAACGATTCAATTCGAAGACTTTCCACAACCACCCCCGAGAAGGATGGGGGCGGCAAGGAAGGCGGGAAAGGGAGAGGGCAGGAAAAAGAAAAGGACACCAGGAAACGGAGATCGACGGCGAGCGGGCAAGGGGGCAACAACCCGCACCCCGGGGGCGCGCGGCAGCGCGGAAAAAGGCCCACCCCCACAGGACTGCCCACGGCTGGAGCGCAGCTGGCTCAGGCCAGCTGCCGCGCTCGTCAAGGCGCAGAGGGCGGGGGCTGGCGGCCCCCCCCACCGGGGGCCTGCGCCCCCCGCGGCCGCCGGCAAATTCCCCCAGCTCCGCGTCGGAGGACTAGGCGACCCGCTCGCGCGAAGACCGCCGGACCCAGTAGGGCCGCCGCGCGCGAGGCGGCAGCGCTGGGGCCCGGCTAGGCCAGCGCCGCCGCGGCAGCCGCGGGGCGCTTCCAGCCCGGCCCCGCTCCCCCCAGCGTCGACACGGGGGGCGCGGCCGCCCCGGCAGGCGCGCCTTCTGCCGCCGCGCTCTCCACGACTTTGCCTTCGCTAACGTCGGCGCCGCGCCGGCCGCCCCGCGCCTCGCCCGTCTGGCCGCCGTGGCCGCGGGGCCAACGTCGCCGCGGGCGGGCAGCCGCGGCCACCGCAAGGGGCGCGGGAGGGGCGAGCCTGGCCAGCGTGGCCAGCCGCGCGCAGAATGGCCTCGGCCGCCCCGAGCACGCGAGAGGCCTCGCGCCGCCCACTACAGCCCGCTGCCAGCCCACCCGCCGAGTGCTCCGCGAGGAAGCCGCCGCGCGCCACCCCGCGCGCCGCGACGCGGGCCTCTTCCGCCGGCAGCGCCAGGCGCGCCGAAACTGGGCCCGAGGACGCCTGCGAAGCGAATGCGAGCCCAAGAAGCAACGCAAACGATGGGACAAACAACTCTTTGGACAAATATAATCAAGGGAGCTCGCCACTCCATCTCTTTCCTCCGCTGCTACGCGCGCAAAAGCTGCCGCGGCGCTGCTCTGCGGCGGGCCAAATTCGAACTCCTCTCGACCCCTGGGACGGGCAGCGCAGCTGTCGCGCACGGCGCCGGCGCCGACTCGACGCCACCTTGCCATCCGGGACCCGCTGCGACAAACGCGCCGCCCAAGGCAAGAGGGCGAGGGCCACCTCGCCACCTGGGCCCCGACGCGGCAGGCGCACTAATCGCGGGAGGGAGAGCGAGGGGCGGGCGCGCACTGGCGCAGACGATCAAAAGAGTAAGACCCCCCCCCCCGCCGAGCCACCAAGAGCCCGAGCTGCTGAGACCCCCCCCCCCGGCCGCGGAGGGCAGCCGCGGGGCCGCGGCCTGCGCCGTGCTCCGCGGCGACCCCGCGCAGCTGACCCCGCTCACGCCTGTCGCGGCATGCTCGGGAGACCTCGGGCGGAGCGCCAGAAGGCTCGACGGGCCCCCCCCCCCGTCGCGCCCCAGCTCGCGCGCGCGCGCGCCCCCCCGGCCCTGCCCCCCAGACGACGGCGGCCCCTGGGGGCCGCTGCCATCTTGATAGCGCTGGGGGGGGGGGGGGGGCGACGAAGAAACGCGCCGCGGTCAATCGCGCCGAAGTCCTCGGTCCCTTTTCGAGGCCGCGCCTGCGAGGCGCCCGCGCAAAGCGCGAGCGCCCGCTGCAGCGCGCGCCCCGCGCAGGGGGCGCGCCACTGCAGAGACCATCTCTCCGCGCGCATCAGTGAGTGGGCGGGGCGGGCACCATGCCCCAGACCAGGCGCCGAAAAAAAAAAAAAAAAAAAAAAAAAAAAAAAAAAAAAAAAAAAAAAAAAAAACAGGGCCCCGCGGGTCTCGCATCCCCGGGGGCCCGCGCACTCTGAAGGCGCAAACCAAGAGAACTTCGCACTGGGAAAAATGCACCGGCACTGACTGGATCTCCACTTGCCGCCAAACTGTTCGAGCAAATGGGGCGACTGCCTGCGTCTGCTTGGACAGCGCCCTGCGCGCGGGCGCCCGCGAGGCCCGCTCTTCCGGCGCCGTCGCGGCCGACGCGGCCAGGGCTCTGCGCGCGCGCCCGCGCCCCATGCGCGCGCGCATCAATCCGATCAGCGCCCGGCCCCCTCCCCGCCAGCCCGTGCCCCCGCGCCAAATCCGCCCCGCTCCCCGTCGACGTGCCAGCGACGTGGTTTCCCGCGGCGAAGAACCTCTGCTGCTCCCTTAGAAGCGCATCGGGGCCCTCTCTCTCGCCCGCACGGGGCGGAGCCCTGACGACCGCGATATCCTAACATGGGCGGCAGTCCAAGGCGGCTCTGGCCCTGGACCACGGTCCTCATTGGAACCGGCGGCCGAAGGACTGGCCCGGCAATGGCCCCGGTTTCTCGGAACCTTGCGAGGGGCAATGAAAAACGCGAAAGATCCCGGGCACTCCTCGAATGCCAAAATAAAAAACCGACAGAACTGCGGAGCGAGGCGCCGTTTGCTCGGCGCCCAGCAGCGGCCTGGCTTCGGGAGCTGCTAGAGGCGCACCCAGGAGGAGGCGCCCGCAGGATCGGGGGCCCTCGGGGAGCAAGTCGAGCCAAGAACCGGGATCGGATAAAGACTGAGTCTTCGCAAATTGCGCTGCTCGGCCTTCATGGGGCCCCCAAGAAGGCCCCACGAGAGCCCCCAGAACCATCTGAAGCCCTTTGCGCGGTCCTCCGGGGACTTTCCTGGGGCCCCTGGCGACGACAAAGCCAGAGCTATTCCTTCATTCCCCCCGGCCACATCATTTTTTCCCACGGGCAGCGGCTGCCCCCCTTTTTGTTTCACTGCACGCTGCTACACTCCCCTCCTGATCACGGCGACTCGCCTGGGCACCTGCTCTGAAAGGGGCGGCGGGGGTGCGCGATACGACAAGAATCCGAGGACTGCCGCAGAGCACTGCCGCGGCGAATGAGGACACTGCGAGTGGGCACCCGGCACCCCCCGACCTTGGCCCGATCATCATACTTTGGCCCCCATCGCAGCTCAACCCTCGACGGCGTCGCGACGACGCTCGCGCGCGGTCTGAATGATGGCCTCCGCGGCCCGCCACCCGGCAGCAACCTGGGCGGCGGGGTCTGCGGGGCCTTCCGGGAGCTCGCTCGCCCACCCCCGGGAGACCTGCAGAGGGGCCCGAACGACGCCAGAGCGCGATTACTGGCCGACTACCCGACCATGCCTCCAGATTGTTGAAGACCCCAGGAAGCCTGCCCTCGGCGACTGCGCCGCGTTCGGGTAGCATCGCGACCCCCCCCGCGTCATTGTTGCCCGTTTTCCCATGTAGTTTGGCGAAGCGATTTTGAAGACGGCGCGCTTTGACGAATCGTACTTTGAAGAGGTTGGCACGGGATTTGACGACATTAAACGAAATTCGAGGAGATCTGACGCGAACTACTTTTTCGAGACATCCTCGCACAAGTTTGGCGGGACTTTGGAGAGTGCCCTCGGGGAGGGGAACTTCTTTGAAGACGGCAGCCCTGTGCAAATCTTGAAACGAAAATTCGTCAAATCATGTCCTCGTCATACTAAGAGACATCGCAGACTGCGCGGGGGATTGCGTTGTGACCCGAACGCGCCGCGGCCGCCACGGGGGCCATTGCCTGGCACGCTCCTCCGAGCGCCCCTGGACTCCTCCGAAATCCCCCCCCCGCCCCAGGGGCCCGGAGCGGCCCCTTGCCCTCTTTGGGAATCACCCTCCGAACCTATGATTGTTCAAAGAAGGCACGGGCCTCTGCGTTTGGAGACTTCCTTAGCTTGGTCAATCGGTTGGGAAAAAGCGGGATGCATTCGACAGATCTTGGGGCACTCTTGGGGACCTCTGTGGCCCTCTCGGGGGCAACTTAGGGGTGTCTCGGGGCCCGCGCGGGCCCGTCCGAGGGCCCCAGCAAGGGTTGGAGGCCCCCGAGAGGGCCTGAAAATGCTGCCAGGAGGGCCTCAAAACCGGTCCCGCAAGAGAGGCTTCGCGTGACCGCGCTGGGGATCCTCTTGAAACCGCCCTGGGGCTCTGAGCTGTTTCGGGGCCCCCCTCGGGCCCCGCCCGCGCCCCCAGGGCTCTCGGGCGGCCCCGAGGGGGCACCGAGACCGCCCCGAGCGGACCCTAAGAGCAGTCACGCGAAGCCTCTCTGGCTTGACCGATCTCGGGGCCTTCATGGGCCCTCGTGGAGCTGTCTCGGGGCGCTCTGGGAGCCGTCTCGGGGCCCCAATCAAGCCCTTTCCGAGGGCCCCCAGACGGCTCCAAGGGGGCCCCGAGACAGCCCCGGGAGGGCCCCCCGAGCGGTCACTGAGGGGACCGAACGATTCACCCGCGGCGCGACCCACCCAACCCACCCGCGACCCACTCGCGGCCCATCGTCGTGCTCTGGGATGCTGTCAATGATGAATACCGAATCCTCCAATCACGATACCCATTCCGCCTATCTCATAGTCGCCGCCTGATCTGCTGCAGCTTGCCTTCCGTCCAGGAAGATGGGGTGATCGCTCCAGGATTGGAATGATGCCGAGAGCGAGGCTGGCTCTCGCGGGAGCGCGAGCACATCAGTCCACATCTCCTCGGTGATGTAGAAGGGCTTTACGTCCGCGTCCTGCGACCCAAGCATGTGCTGCTCCTCGAAGGTCTCCTAGAAGTGCGGTTCCAAGGCAAACATCCTCGAGTCATTCCCCACGCCAACGCCACGCTGGCAACCGCTTCCGCTTCTGTTTGTCCCGCTCTCTTCGCACCAACCAACGATGTAGTCGTTGCAAGTGTTGCACCCGCCGCCGAGGACCTTGAGCTTCCAGTTGAAGACCAAACCTCCGCAGCGGGTGCAGGCCGTGTACTGCTGATACTTCGGCATGTCGCCGTCGTCGCTGACACTGTCGTTGCACCAGCAAAAGCTCATAAAAACGACCGCGCACACTGGTGCACAGTTCCAGCCTGGGCGAACAGACGGATTGTAGTTCTCTGAGCGCAGACTAGCGGCATCCACTTCTGGCGCTGCCACCAGCAAAACCTTGAGTCAAAAAGGCTACGAAAGGGAGGAAGGAGGAAGGAGGGAGAAATGTCAAGAACGAGGTCCGAGGATCGAGCTTCGCGGTTCAAGCATCGAGGACGCCTGCCGCGGCGGAGCCCGCACCGAAACTCCGCAACTCACATCCACTGTACGACCTCTGATACCCTGAAGTTCCTTGAGACTCCACAAGCCTCGCCGACTTTGCCGCAACTCTGGGGGGGCTGTCGGGCGCTCATGGCGGATCTACGCCGCCCTTCCCCGGAGCCCCCTGGGCCGGCCCGGGGGCACTGCAGGAGCTCTCAGCATGAAAGGCCCCGCGGCTCCCAGGAAGGCCCCAGGGATACCACAGAGGCTCTTGAAGCCCACATGGCACCCCTTGGAAGGGGGGAGCCACTATGCATCGAGAGATGCCGCGCGCAAACACCGCTATGCGATGTCCGAGCCGGTCGGATTTCGGAAGGCCGTGCAGGGCCGCCCTCACATCTCATGAGGCAACTCACGAGAGGTCTTCTTCATAGGCGCGATCGAAACTTCACAGGCCAGATCAGGAGGCATAGCTAGCAAGCCAAAGTAAGCCCAGAGTAACCACACATAAAGCCAGACTAAGCCAGAATGAACCAGACAAAACGAGATGCCAGATGAGACTGGAGTAACACAAATGAGATGCCAGGGCCGTGGCTCTCTGTAGAACCCCAGGAGTTGCAACATAACCTCGCAGTGGCTGCAGCAGCGTAGCAGACCGCCAGGAAACATCCACATCCACAGCTTATGCAGCGCTGCCCTCGATATCTGGGGAACGGTGGATACCGATACTCTCCCGAACTCAATCAAGGGCGGGCAGATCTCCATGACTCCCACCCCGCGAGAGGTCCTCGAGATTCTTGGGCAGAACTCCTAGGCAATGGATACAACTTGTTTCTGGCAGTGCAGAGTGGGGGGCTGCTCCGACCGCACCACGGCCCCTGGGCTCGGCGGCTTTGGCGATCACGTTGTGTATGTAGGCCACGGCGCGCTCGACGTTGCGCTGGGGACACGGGCCGTCGCGGCGGGGCAAGGCAGGACAGAAATAAAGGTCCCCGCCGCACTCCTCAACCGCGCGTGCTGGCTTCAGCGAGGCGCTCCTCCTCCTCCCCCACTCTCCCATCCTCCTCCTCCTGCGCTGCTGACTGCTGCTGCCGCCGCCGCCGCCGCCGCCGCTGCCGCTGCCGCTGTCGCTGCCGCTAATTACTGCTGCTGCTGCAGCACCTCCTCCTCCTCCTCCCACCTCGATCCTCCTCCTCCTCCTCCTCCTCCACCTCCTCCCCTCCTCCTTCCTCCTCCTCCTCCCTCCTCCCTCCTCCCTCCTCCCTCCTCCCTCCTCCCTCCTCCACCTCCCGCCTCCCACCACCTCCCTCCTCCTCCTCCTCCTCCTCCTCCTCCTCCTCTCCTCCCACCTCCTCTCCTCCTCCCCCTCCTCCTCCTCTTCCTCCTCCCCTCCTCCTCCTTCTCCTCCTCCTCCTCGTCTTCCTCCTCCTCCTCCACCTCCTTCTCCTCCTCCTCCTCCTCCTCCTCCTCCTCCTCCCACCTCGTCCTCTCCTCCTCCTCCTCCTCTCCTCCTCCTCCCTCCTCCTCCACCTCCCCTCTCCTCCTCTCCCTCCTCTCTCCTCCCTCCTCCTCCTCCCTCCTCCTCCTCCCTCCTCCTCCCTCCTCCTTCCCCCTCCTCCTCCTCCTCCCTCATCCTCCCTCCTCCCACCTCCCACCTCCCTCCTCCCTCCTCCTCCTTCTCCTCCTCCTCCCCCTTCTTGTGATGTCCTTTTCTTCTTCTTCCTCCTCCTCCTTTTCCTCTCCTTTTCGTGCTCCTCCCTTCTCCTCCTCCTCTTCCTCCTCCTCCTCCTCCTCCTCCTTCTCGCCCTCTTCTCCTCCTCCTCCTCCTCCTCCTCCTCATCATCATCATCATCATCATCATCATCATCCTCATCACCAATACCCAGCCATATCGTTTGAGCGTTGTGCTGCTGCAAGCACCGCCGCTGCTCCGCCGATGCCGCGTACACTCAGGGCTGCATGCTCCGGGACGCCGCAGAGGCAGCCCGAGGAGCCCTCCTCACATGCCGCCTCCGACCCGGCTGCTAGGTGGTCCCCTTCCGGAACCCACCTACAGCGGGCCGCGAAAGGCCTCCTGCACACGGCGGTGGCTGACCTCGTCGGCGACGCCACGAAGCAGGACGCGCCAGCGGCGAGGGCGGCACCGCCCGACCCTGAGGGCCGCGCTGCGCAAGGCGCGCGGCGGCGGCGGGCCGCCGACGAGCCCGTGGACCAGGGCGAGCACATGGAGAAGGCGGCGGCGGGCGGCAGCAACCAGCCGCGGCGGCGACCGCGGCGGGAGCCCCTGGGGCCCTTGGACCGCAGGCCATCGAGTACGGCGACGACACTCTCGAGCACGACTCCTCGGCTGACGCGCTCCCGATCCAGCACGGCCAAGCTGGAGCGGGGGCTGCGGCCGCGGCAACGGCAGTTCCTGTGACGGGGGGGGCACTCGCCTTCGGGCCTCCTCCGTGCCTGGACGCCTCATCGTGGCTCGCGTTGAATCCATGTTGAATCCTCCTACTCGGAAATTCGCCCCCAAGCTCCTGCCCGCATTCCCAATCGCCAGTTCCGACACTCCAACACTTGACTGGGACTTGTTCGGTGGGGACAGATATTGCGCTTCGTCCCTGCCTCTCACTTCGTGCCTGCCTGACAGGGGAACAAGTCGATACACAATTCCATCACAACACACAGATGCGCCTATAAACACACAAGAACGTTGGGGGACATCGACGAGGTGCATTAGCGTCGCCGAATTAAAGTCGGCATTAGCGCCGCCAAAGTAGTGTAGGCAGTAGTGTCGCCGTTAGTGCCGCTGTTCGTGCTGCCATAAATGTCGCCATGAGTGTCGCTATCAGTGAGCGGAAAGCCAGCAATGCAGGCCGCGGGGACCGCGGGAGGCGTGGGCATGGACATAACACCGAAAACACGAAGTTCCGTTGCGAGGGTACCCAAGATAGACGTCGTTTCAACTAGTGTGACGAGTCGAGGCCGGGAGGCGTTTGATGAGGGATGGGATAATGCCGACACTAGCGTCGCCATCAGTGCCGCCATTCGTGTCGTCACTGGCGAAGTTCAGTGTCGCCATCAGTGTCGTCACTGGCGAGCTTGCACTGTGTCGCCATTCAGTGTCGCCAGTAGTGTCACCAGAAAACCGCGCGGAGTCGTTGGAAGACAAATGACACCGAAATCCGAAATGGATCTGCCATATTCCCCACACAATGCTTGCACTAAGGGATTCTCATCTCTCTCCTAAAGAACTGGGCCCGTGCGTCGGTCCAGCCAGCATGTTGCCGCCAATCGCCGCCCCTCGCCGCCGCCCGTCGCCGCACCAAACTGGTCACGATGTTGACCGTGCGAGGCTCGCAATTGGGATCGCCCCCGTCGGTCGCCGTACCATTTTCGTCACGAGTTGGATTGTGCGAGGGTCGCGCTTCGCATTGGTTTGAATTGACTTATGCTGCTTTGCGTTGTTTTGCATTGTCTTGCATGTTGTTGTGCTTTGCATCACTGTGCATCGCATTGCATTAAACTGTACACACATGCACTTAGATTGCACCACGCAGCTTACACCACATAGATCGCACCACATGGATTGCACAACATATATTACACCACATACCACACAACCCACATATCGAACCACATAGATGGCACCACCTAGCTTACACCACATAGCGCACATCTCACACCACACGAGTACGTTAGCTCCGACCATATGTAATGCGCCACAAAGCATGCGCCACAAGGCTCACAACTCATGTATTGCACCACGTGGCATGCATCACATAGCTTGCACCACATAGATTGCACCACAGAGCTTCCAGAATCTAGCTTGCCCCACATGGCTTACACAGCATGTATTGCACCACCTAGTGTGCTAGAACACATCGTCTGGGGCCCATGCTGACTAACATCTCAAACACATACATGCAGCGTGTGTCGAAAGCAAGCGATGACATTTAGCGAAAGGGGAACAAGGTAGAGCAGCAGCAGCAGCGGCGGCGACGCCTGTGTTCTCTCGCTCGCACATTATCGGCAACTTCTGAAGCTTCTGGTTACATGAAGCACCGACGGCTGCTGTCATCCCGATATGCGCACTCAACCTTCTAGACAATTGGGCTACAGACTGAGTGCTATCAGCTCACACAAGGTCTGGAGGCAGCCTTCACCAGACAACGGTGACAGGAAATCTGTCCTGCAGACAACGTCCATGAGTAGGTGATGCCAGCGCCACCTCTGGCCACAGCGTGTTGCTGCACTGGCCGCCACAGAAATAACCTTGGTTTCGACGTGGACTCCAGCAATAAATTACAGATACCACTGGCATGTAGACGGTAAGGAGGTTGAAATAGTGTGACAGGCCGCGGAGGCAGTGAAATACAATGGACGAAGCCAGGAGGGGCCACACTCCAAAAATGGTATGTTATCACTCATCCCCAGGCCTTCTCGCCAACAACGACGACGTTCCTGTTGGGGGTCTCGTCGCGAGGAATCCTGACGCGCACCTGAGGGACAAAGGATGAGGGAGGGAAACGCATGAGGGCAGAAAGGGGGCACGTATGAGGAAACATAAGGAAGGGACATGAAGTGGAATGGGATGGGAGGAGAAAGGAAGGGGTTGTAAGGGAGAGGCGGTGCTAATGAAGGGATAAAGAAAGAGACCCGAGGGACGGGATGGAGGAGATTGGAGGGGTGGGGGTTGGGTGGGAGGGATGGGAGGGGTGAGAGGCTGGGAGGCGGACAGGGAGCTGAGCAGGGGATGGAGATAGGAAGGAAACAACAGGCAGGGATGAAGGACGATAATCATGAAGATGAGGAGGCAGGAGGGAGTATGAGGATGAGGACGGGGGATGACAAAGAGGAGATGGAACAAGAAGGGAGGAGGAGGGGGAGGAGGAGGAGGAGGAAGAGGACGAGGAGGAGGAGGAGGAGGAGGGCTGGGAGGACGAGGGGTGGTGGCGGAGGAGGGCGAGGCTGGCAAATTCGATAACGAAGAAAAGGATCAGGAGAATGAGCAAACGCCGGATAGACGGGAGGACGACGAGGAGGATCATAAGGAGACCTTGTAGTTTTTCTCGGTGTGTCTCAGCTCGGAGCCCGCCTTGCCGATGATAAACCTGGCGCCGCCCGCGCCAGAGGCCTCTCTCCGTGGGCTGGCACGGACGGCCGACAGCCCAAGCACCTGACGAAGAGGAGAGGGAGGCAGCAGACGAGGGGGGGTGGGTGATCCCCCAGATAGGATCAGGAGAACAAGGACGAAGACGATGAACAAAGACGAAGAGCGGGAGCAGGGGGAACGGAACCTGCCGTCGCTCGAGCCTGGATTTCCATCTGCGTGCTTGGCGCCTCTAAGCGTTAGCGACAGTGTGCAGTCGGGTCCATCACGGCGCCGCAGAGCGGCCTGCACGGGTCCAGGTCGAGCGAGCGGATCCACAAACGACGAGCCCCTGCGCCGAGGGCCCACGGCCCCATGGAGATACCCAAAACGAAGAGCATCCAAGTGGGAGAGGGGGCACCCCTACAACAGCAGGATTGGTCTCTCCTCGTCAAACCACCAGGCGTAGCAACAGGGCGGCTCTGGTGCAAGTCATGGCCCTGAAGCTTGGCCCCCCAGCACACGCAGATACGAAGGGTGGGATGTAAAACTGTGGCTCCCGCCTTAAGGCAGCGCACGAAATCTTAAAGGCTCCGGCAGCGACAAGGCTGGCGGTCGGATGGTTTTCAAACTAATGCGCCGACCTTAGCGCCGCGCAAAACTCGTCTTAAAAGACTAAAGAGCAACATTCGCGAAATGAAGGTAATGCTCGAACTGTGGGGATCCACTTGGCGCCGCGCACACGTTCCCCTCAAAAGCGTCCGATGGGTTACATGGCAAGTGGCCCCTTACCAGGCCTGGGATATCTCCTTGGTTATCCCTTGGTACTTCCTCCATGCGTATGGCTAGATTTACAGCATCAAGTTAAACCACACTTGCACGGATGGGAAGCGACACATTTTCAAAGCTGGGCATCGCTGAATAATGCAATGAACTTTCTACTCCTACACCGTTGCACCCCCACTACCTAGAACGATGGAGCGCGGTTCCTTTCGGAAACAAGACTCTCGCTTGAACGGCAGGCTCACGGGGCTTTCGTCTTTCAGGGAGGGGGGTGACGGGCGGGCTTCCCGTTGAAAAAAACGCTTGGAAGGACTTATGATGAGGGGACTTGGGACGGGAGGGTAAATCGCAGCACATCTGCCCCTCCTCCTCCTCCCTCCTCAGTCCTCCCCCTTCTCCACCCTCACGTGTCACGTCAGGAGAGTCGCAAGGGACAAAGAAAAGACTGAGTGCGAAGGCTCGGAAGAGAGGACGCGGGAGCCTGTAGTTCCACTCCTCGATTTCCAGCTCCTCGTGCACCTAGGCGCGTGGAGCACCGCCTCCCACACTTTGCGCCTGCTGCCCTCCTCGTCCTTCTCCTCATCCTCCTTCTCCTCCTCCTCCTGCTATTCCTCCTATTCCTATGTTTCCTCCTCCTCCTCCTCCTCCTCCTCCTCCTCCACCTCTGCTCCGTCGCTCCCCCCCGTCCTCGTCCTCGTCATTCATCCGCGTCCTCGTACTCCTCCTCGTCGTCCGCCCTTCACCTCAGACGAGGCTGGCAAAAGGAGGGGCAAGACCAGAACGGAAGGGGAAGGGCCTGAGGATATCAACGATCCACCTCACCGACCTTGGCTGGGCCGATCCCAGGCCTGGGATCGGGGTACGTGCATTACTGGCCAAGTCAATCAAGGAGGGTGCAGATGTCGATCCTGGGCCTGTGATGGCCCTGGCCAGGATCGGTGAGGTGCATGGCTGACGCCCCGCGGAAAGAGGCGTGTGGAGCGTCTGTGTCAACAAAACGGAATCAAGCCGAATGGCAGGTTGGCAAGACACTTGTACGGTAAACAACGTGCCAACATCTGAATGATTTGACCGCACCACGGGTGCGCAACACTTCGCGTGAGATACAGCCTTGGCGTGGACCCAGACCGCTTCAGCAGGGGAAGGATGAGTAGAGAGGTAGGGAGAGAGATCTCATATGGTGGCAGATTCCACTCGGAATGGCACACGTTCGACACCCCCCACACAGGATAGACGCTCCTTAGCGACCTGTCATGTGGACGCGTGGACGTCTTGGTCGTCTCCCCATCAGCAAAACAATGCAGAGTCCACACGTTTCCACTCAACGTGGACGTTTCGTTGTCGACGTCGCAAAATGCGTGGCAGGAATGGGACGTAGCGCACACCGCGCGTGTGATGGGATTGGACGACATGTCGTTTCCGCATCGGCAAAGTGCTCATGTCTCCTCCGAGCTGAGCTACAAGTTGATCGCGGCGCACATGGTTCGATTGCCAGTAGGTCGACAGCGGGATCGACAAATGTAAATATCGCCTCGGCGCCGCGCAGATTACGCCTGAAAGAGGCGTTCCCGCTTAAGCGCGGCGCATGTTTATCTCTCGCCAAGTCGTTTGGGTGCGGGGCAGGGTGTCACGCCCAGTGAAGATTTAGCCTGTAAGTGAAGATTCCGCCTTTAAGTGTCGTTCCTGTCCTGGCACTGCGCATGGCTTTCGGTCGCCAAGTCGCAGAAAGCGGCAGCGGCAGCGGGGCTGCGCGAGAGCGGGCGAAATGGTGTTATCGCGCAATCGCCAAACAGATGTTGCATAAAAGTGGCAGCAGTGGTTCGGCGCGGCGCATGCTTCGCCCTGGTCGCTCTTATCGGAAAGCTCGACGCGCGCGTGCGAGAAACAGAGAGAAAGAGATAGCTGAATGGTACTCTCGCCGCATTGTCGCGCAAGGAATGTTTGGAAGTTCTGCTCGCGCCCATGCGCGGCCCGTGCGTTGCTCCCTCGTCAAGTCGTCGGAGGCGGGACCGCGCGAGATCGCCTTCCGTTCGATGGATGGGACGCGCTCCAGCCCCAATGTCAAATTGTACCACCGCTGATCCTGATGGCGTGGGAGGGGTGGGAATGGGCCAGGCCCGCTGTCTCGTTGGCCGCGGCAGTAGTACTTGGCCCCTTCTCATACTGACATCTTTTGGCAATGCTTCTCATTCAGAACGTTCAGCTGCCCCAGACTACTGGCCCTGAATAAGCTCCCTCGTTCAGCACAATTCGTCAGCCCGTCGGGGCAACTGTGTCCAACGGCATGCCAGAATCTGTGGTAAGAGCTTCATGGTACGTGTATTACTGGTTCGCGCGCGCGTGCGGCCCCGGAGGAGCCCTGGGAGACAACCTCCCGGGCAAATGCGGGAGACCACAGGGGTGATGAGAATCAGGGGAGACCAATCACGGGAGACCATATGGGAGACCCTATCAAAAACCATGAGGGAGACCATGCGGAAGATCGCTGGGAACCCATAAAGGAGACCAGGCGGGAGACCATACGGGAAACAAAAAAGGAGACCATACGGGAAATCATACCGGAGACCATACGGGCAGGAGAGCCCAGAATCGAATCGACAAGTCGGACCAGCGATCGACACGAATCGGATCGGCGAAAATCGGCAGCCGAGCCGGGAAAAGTCGAATCGGCAGAAATCGGCAGGCTGATGCGCGTCCAATCAAAAATCGGAGCCGAAGTTGGAATCTGAAATCGAATCGAATCGGAATCGGAAGCCATCGAAATCGAATCGAATCGAATCGGAAGAATCGAAACGAACCCTGCACGGGAGACCACACGGGAGATCATAGATGCGAACGGAAAGGGGGAGCATTCGGGAGACCATGCGGGAGACCATGCGGGAGACAATGCGACAGACCATGCGGGAAATCATGCAGGAGGCCTGATGGGGGAACATTCGGGAGACCACGAGAAACATCACATGGGAGACCATACGGAAAACATACGGAAGACCATACGGGAAACCATATAAAGAAGAACACACAGCAGACCATACGGGAGGCCATGACAGAAACAAAACAGAAAACACACGGCAAACAACACGGGAAACAATACTGGAGACCATACCTGTACGAACAACCTTCGGTTGATAAGGAGATTAGGAGGTGGGGGGGGAAGAATCAACTGCTGGCAAATGCGGTGGGTGTGCTGATGACGGTGCTGGTGGCGCGCCCCCGAGTTAGCGACGACGCGTGATGACGATGTTCTGCTGCGATGTAATAAACGTATTGTCCCCGCTGTTTCCCCACAATAAATGTCACGATAAACCTCACTGTCGATTTCACGCTTCATATCACAACCCATCCCAGCCTAGCGATCTCAGTATCGATCTCACGATCGAATTCACAATCGATACCAAGGCGGGACACCCCCGGCCGCCGCCAGCCCATCGCCGACGGAACACAGACGGGACACCAACGGGACACCACAGGACACCACGGCGGGACACCCCGGGTCACCGCGCGCCCACCGGGGGCGGAGGGGCGATCCACTGCATCCGAATCGCCCTAGCGGCCCTAGCGACGGCGGGGTCATTCCTCTCGCCCGCCCACGGAGCTTCGCCTCGCCCGCACGCACGATGCGAACACGAAACCGAAACCGAGCTTCCCGTGGGGGGCACTCCGTTCCACTGCGATCTCCCCCCCAACCTCCGACGGGAGACCACACGGGGGAATACATCGCAGACCACGCGGGAGATCATGTGGGAAACCATAGTTGAAATCATAGATCAAGCCATGCGGGAGACCATACGAGAGACCACACATGCGGGAAACCAGAAGGGAGACCATGCGGGAACGCATACGGGAAATGACACGGGAGACCATACGGCCATACGGGAGACCATACGGGAGACGATACTGACTTAGGTCCTGGAGGAAACCACCCTCGCCACATTACAAAAGAAAGAACTTGCAAACGAGCCGATTCCGCGAACGTGTCGTGTCTATCGGTGGGGTTCTACAAACCAGTGGCCAAGACGCGAGCGGCGATGGACGGCACACATAACGCAGTGAGGACCGCAACGTGGTCCCAGGCCAGCCCAGCGCAGGCGCGAGGCAACGCGTAGCAGAATCCCACCAGCCCTCTGGGCGTAGGTGGTCTAGAACAGATCCTCTTCCACCCCTCCCTCTTCCCCCTTGGGGAGGGGTTTACCCCTCCCCCTACCCCCTCCCCTGGACCTGGACGGGGGGGGCCGCGGGTAGTTAGAGCGTCCGGAAGCGAAAAGGCGAGAAAGCAAAAATCATTGATTTTCCTTAGGTTTTGGGACGATTTTGGCCTCTTCGGGGCTTCCGAGGGGGGGCGCTAATTCACCCCCCCCTCTTGTTTGATCGATCTCCTCCAAGATGGCCCCAAGAAGCGCCCAGGAAGCCCCAAGAGGTCCCAAGATGGCCCCAAAATGGCCCCAAGAGGCCCCCAAGAGGCCCCCCGGAGGCCCCCAAGAGACCCCCAAGAGGCCCCAAGAGCCCCCCCAGATGCACCCAAGATGCTCCAAGAGGCCTCGGCGAGAATGCCTAATCATTGATTCTACACAGGTTTTAGCCACATGGAGGCCTCTTGGGGGGGGGCACGGATTAAGATGACTCCAAGAGCGTCTGGGAGAGCCCAAAATGACCTCCAAGATGGCTCAAGATATCCCAAGATGTCTCATAATGGCTTCCTCTGTGTGCTGCCCACTTCTCTGATCGAGGCAATTCCTCTGGGCATCGTTACTGGATGGGCTGGTGGGGATTCGCGAAGCGACAACAATTCCCAAAGAAAGAGAGAGAGGGGGAAAAGAGAGAGAGAAAGAGAAAACATAAAAAAGGGGATATATATATATATACATATATATATATAGAGAGAGAGACACAGAGACGCACTTCAAGACCGTGGACTTCTGAGGTATTTGATTAGTCCCACAATAATTGTTTCCGTAAATTCAGCCCCCGTGGCCATCAAACACTGTTCTGAGACGAAACATGCCGATCGAACCATGGGGCCCGTGAATTGAACAAGCGAATCCGTCGGACGACTGGGCACACACAAGAAACGAGAGCTTTGAACGTATGCGGTGGCTTCCAGCTTGGGCATGGAAGCCTGCGACCCGGATGAGGACTGGAACCATAACAAGACCGTTAGCCAATGTACACGACAACCTTATGATGTGACGGTTTATGCCATCGTAGTTTATGTCACGGACGATTAATACGGTCGCCGGAAACACAAGCATCCAACTGCTCGTGAATTCGAACTTGGAGGCTGAGCTGGAGGAGGCGGAGAGTGGCATCACGTTCGCTGGCGGCGCAGGCATGGCTGCCAGTCAGAGTGGTTCCACGGTGGCTTCGAGGTTGGCCTCAACAATCCCATTGAAAACTTCAAGCCTCCACTTGGCCGTTTTCCGCCGATGACCCGTCGTTCGGTCGGCATCAGGACTCTTGGCGCGAAGACAGGAAGCATTGGAATGGTAAGCAGAAACACAGAAATCGAGTGAATCCGGATTGCTTATTACTCCCCATTGTAGGCATGTATACAAAAATAAGAGCACGCGCGGCAACGGAGAATCGTGAGAGGAACACTAGCGTACAAATATATGAGAGAGCGTGATCCACCGCCGTTTTACTGTGGAAGATTCCCCCCCTCTTCCTCCAGAACCCAGGGATCCCCCCCCCCCTCCGACCCCCCCCCCTGCTGACACCCCCCCCCTCCTCTCCCCTGGCAAAACGCCCCCCTCCCCGAACCCCCCCCCCCCTCCCCCTCGAAAAACCAAGAGGGGTCACTACCCTCGAAAACCGGAGGGGGGTCACTACCGGTTCGAACCCCTCCCCCCCCCCCCCTCACCGCCAGCAAACGACTCCCGGTCCCTACCACCGTCCGCACCACATCCCCCACTGTTGTTCCCAGCACCACTGTCTTCACCACCACTGTCCCCACTGGTTCCACCACCGCCCCTACTGTCCCCACCAGTGCCCCCACCACTGTCGCACTGTCCCCACTGTCCCCACCACTGTTCCCACCACGGTTCCACTCTCCCCACTTTCTCCACGGCCCCAACCACTGCCCGACTATCCCCACTGTCCCCACTGTCCCACTGACTCCTCCGCTGTCCCACTGAGCTGTCCCACTGTTCCCACCACTGTCCCCACTGTCCCCACCACTGTCCCCACTGTACCTCTGTCCCATTGTCCCACCGCCGTCCTCGCCACCGCCTTCACCACTGTCCCCACCACCACTGTACCCTCCACTGTCCCACTGTTTCCACCACATTCCCACTGTCCCCACACCACTGTCCCCACCACCACCGTCCCCACCACTGTCCCACTGTCCCCACTGGTCCCACCATTGTCCTCACCACTGTCCCCACCACTACCGTTCCCACCACTGTCCCACTGTCCCCGCCACTGTCCCGCTGTCCCCTCACCAATGTCCCCACCACCACCGTCCCCACCACTGTCCGCACACCCCTCCCGGTTTTCGAGGGGGGGGAGGTTCGAACCGGTAGTGACCCCCCCCCTTTTCATGATGGACTGGGGGGGGGGGAGGGGTGCGAACCGGTAAAGACCCCCCCGGTTTTCCGGAGGGGGGGGGGGGTCGAACCGGTAGTGACCCCCCCCGGTTTTCCGCCAGCAGCGGTAGAACTCGCTTTTTCAAATGTATGACGCATAAGCATTGAGGTTAGCAGGGCCGCGGGGTGCATCGAAATCCACGTGGACTTCCTAATGTAATAAGAACCATGTGCTATGGCCTAAGCCCTAAGCATTACCACGTGTGCCAAGAAATAGACATGGGCTCGGGGTATTCAGAAGAGAGGGGGAGGAGGAAGAGAAAGGCCGAGGAGGAGAAACAGGCAGGAGGAAACGGAGATGGGGGGTGGGAGGGAGGGCGGGAGGAGGACCCCCATAACTCCGCGGGCTCCAGAGTTCTTGACCCGTTGCCCAAGGGACACCTTCTCGTCCTGGAATTTCGCCTGGAACAATGAGTGGTGGCCCAGGGGACACAAACGGCCTTCGGATGCCGACGCTAGAAGAAAACCAGGGATGCTGAAACAACAAACAAAATCAAGTCAACTCCGAAATCGAGGAGGACGAGGACTGTATCTGCTGTGCCAAGGGCAAGTGATATGCTCGGACTCTGCTGCGAGTGAGCGCGCAAAGCGCGCGCGTACACGGTTGCCTCGCGAATTCCTTGCCATGGCACTGCGGGGCGATTCATGGGAAAGACGACGAGTGGAGCCGAGGAGCCAGAAGTATGTCATAGCAGCAAGAGGAGTGAACGAGGCGTCTCTGGACACGGACGAGTAGCAGGCGGAATGGGAGAAGTGGAAACAATATGACCAGGAAGCAGGGAGAAGCACATCGCCGGGATGGGTGATCTCGTGGTGATAATACATCACGATATCGTTGACTACCTCCTTGGCTTTCTCGACGTTTTCGCCCTTTTTCGGACAAGGCAAATGAAGACATGGCATTCGGTGTGATATCATGTGCTGCACCCCTGTATCTGATCGGTCTTTCTGTCCCTCCTCCGCCTCCCCTCATCCGTGACCGTGCCGTGAGGCAGGAATTCGAGTGTCCTTAGGCCCCCTTGAACTTTCCTCAGTCCCTCAGTACTCAGGATTGGAGATTCAACAAAAGGCCCAAGTCCAGACCCAAAAATCTCCTGGGGCGTGCCGCGGCTGGCTCTCCCAGGGCTTGCCGCGTCTTGTCGCACGACACTTTCTGGCCCAGGAGGGCCCCAAATCGGGACTAAACCCCAAGAGGGCCCCAAACGGCCCCCAAGCCGGTCCAAGAGTGCCCCGACTCGCCGAAACATCGCTCCAAGAGATGTCCTCCAGACGGTGCAACACGCCTCTGAAAGCACTCCCGAAGAGGGCCCCGAGACACAAACAATGCCCCATCTCATGAAAAGAACATATATGTTTAGCATAAGCGCCTCATCAGGTTTCACAGCATCCAAGACGACCCGAGAAGCCTCCAAGATTACCCCAAGAGACCCCCAATAGGCCCTCAAGATGGCTCAAGGACGGCTCAAGAGCTCCCTCTTCATCTCCCTCGCCCACTCTCTCGCTCTCTTCTCTCTCTCTCTCTCTCTCTCTCTCTCCCCCACACCAGGGTCCTAGCAGGTCCCGGTCCAGGGGGAGGGGTTCCCCCCCCGTGGACAGGGGGAAGGGGGGACCCCCTCTGGGAGTCGCCAGCGGGGGTCGCAGGGGAGGTCCTGCTTGTGGTGGGGGGGGTCCCAGGTCACTCCAAGGGGAGGTTCCGCCCTCAGGGTCGGCACTGGCCGGGAGGCCTCCACAATGTGTATATACACAAATATCCATACATACATACATACATACATACATACATGCATGCATGCATGCATGCATACATGCATACATACATACATGCATGCATGCATGCATGCATGCATGCATACATATATATATATATATAGGTATATACATACATATATACAGACCTACATATATACGTACATACATACATACATACATACATACATACATACATACATACATACATACATACATACATGCAGCAATCCCTACATACATACAACTATACATCCATACATACATACATACATACATACATACATATACATACACATACACATACACATACATGCATGCATGCATGCATGCATGCATGCATACATACATACATACATGCATACATACATACAAACATATACACACATACATACATACATACATACATACATACATACAGACAGACAGACAGACAGACAGACAGACAGACATATACATGCATGCATGCATGCATGCATGCACGCACGCATGCACGCATGCATGCATGCATACATACATACCTGCATGCATGCATGCATGCATGCATATATACCTACATACATACATAGATGAATATACATATATACATACATAGACACACATATACATTCGTAGATACATACATACATGCATGCATGCATACATGCATACATACGTACTACGTATCTGCATGCATACATACAGACACACACATACATACATAAATACAATCATACATACATACATACATACATACACACATACATTCATACGTACATTCAAACATACATGCACACACATCCATACATACATACATGCATACCTGCATACATCCATACATACATACATACGCACATACGCATACACGCACATACGTGCATTACATTACCTTACGCTTGCGTGGCATGGCATGACATTGCATGGCATGACATTGCATTCCGCCAAATTGCACTACACTACAAACATATATCTATGCCTGCACACATACATGCATACATACATCCAAGCATACATACATGCATGCATGCATGCATTCATATACATACACATAGATACATACATACATACATACATACATACATACATACATACAGACAGACAGACAGACAGACAGACAGACAGACAGACATACAGACATGCATGCATGCATGCATACATACATACATACACACACATACATGCATGCAAACATACAACCAACACACTTGCATACATACATGCTTACATCCGTACATCCATACACACATACAGACATCACATGTATACACCGATCCATCCGTACATACATACATACATGCGGACGTGCGAACATACATACATGCATACGACATCCAATTATACACACACGCATACATACAAACATACACATACACTTACACATACATATGCATATACATACAACGGGGGACCTGGTCCGGGGGCCGGGGGCCAGGACCCGACCGCAAATGCGGGGGCCCGGCGCGACGGGAGCCCTGCCGGAGCGCCGAAGGCCGTCCAAGATCGCCCGAAGAAGGTTTCGGAACGCTCGAAAACGCGCTCCGATGGCTCCGGATGCCTTTCAAGACGACTCCCATGACGCCAAGAAGGCCCCCGAAGGCCCCGAAGACGCCCCAAGAGGCACCCCGAGAGGGCCCCAATAAGCAAAAATCGTAAATTTCTTCTCAGAAAACTGATGTTTTTGGCGTGTTCGCCTGTTGGGCTTCCACTGCGTCCAAGACGGCCCAAAAGGCACCCAAGCTGGTCGAGGATGCCCCCATAGGGCCCCAAGACAGCCCACGAGGGGGCCAAGACGGCCCACGAGGCGCCCAAACCGCCCAAGAAGGCCCCAAGGCGGCGCCCAAGACGGGGGCGAGGAACACGAAATTTGCGCCTTTTGGCCCAAGAGACCCTCAGGAGACCCGAAGAGGCTCCAAGAAGCGCTCAAGAAGCCCCAAGAGGCCCCCATGAGACCAGAAAAAACACCAAAAGAGGTCCCGAAGACGCCCCAAGAGGCACCCCAATAGAACCCCAAATAAAAAAAACGTAGATTTCCGATTGGGAAACTGATGTTTTTTGGCGCGTTCGCCTTTTGGGCTTCCACTGCGTCCAAGAGGGCCCAAGAGGCACCCAAGACGGTCGAAGATGCCCCCACCGGCACACCATGCTCGGGGGCCGAGGGCCAGAACCTCGACCACAAATGTGGGGACCAGGGCCTGGACCCGGGGAGCCCTCAGACAGCCATCCCGGCGGCCCCAGGCGGTCTCGAGACACCCCCAAGACGCCGTCCAGGGGTCTCTGGCGACGCACGATGCGTTTTAAACTGCCCCAGACCCCCAAGACGCTCCAAGAGGCCTTTAAGATGCTGCCCAAGAGCGCACCGAGAGGGCAAAGTCGTTGATTGTCATTGTTGATTTCAGTGTTGTGTGCGTGTTTCCTGACGCTAAAGCACCGCCCATGAGGCTCCCCAAACCGCTCCAATACGGCCCAAGAGGCCCCCAAGAGGGCCCCAAGACAGCCCAAGAGAGCCCCGAGACGGCCCCAGAGCCGCCCAAGACGGCGCAAGAGGTTCCCAAGAAGGCCCCAAGAGGGGCCCAAGAGAGGGAACGCGAACTGAAAAATCAAGCTCTCCGCCCCAAGATGCACCCAAGAGGCCCCAAGATGCCCCCAGGAAGTCCCCAAGAGGCCCCAAGAGGCCCCCAAGAGGCCCCAAGAGGCCCCCAAGACGCCCAAAAAAGAGGCTCCAAGAGGCCCCAAGACGGCACCCCAAAGGCTTCAAAACTATTTCCAAGAGGCCCCCGAAGACATGCCAAGAAGGTCCCATGACGACTTCAAGAAGCAGTCCATGATGCTCCGAGGAGGTCCCAAGAAGCTACTTAGAACTTGAGCGCGCGCGAAGCGCGCGATGGTTCTAGTATAGACATACAAACATATGTACGTACATACGTACATGCATACGTACACACATACATACATAAATGCATACATACATACATACATACATACATACATGCATGCATGCATGCATGCATGCATGCATGCATACATACATACATACATACATACATACATACATACATACATACAACCATGCATACATCCATGCATGCATACATGCATGCGTGTATACATGAATATATACATGTACACATACATACATAAATACATACATACATGCATACATACATACAGACATGAATACATACCGACACACATACAGACAGACAGACATACATACATATACACATACATATGTATACATACATACATACATACATACATACATACATACATACATACATACATACATACATACAGATACAGTTACATACACATATACACATACATATACATATACATATACATGTATCTTTACATATACATATACATATACATACACATATCCATATCCATATACATATACATATACATACATACATGAATACATACATTCATAACTACGTACATACATACATACATACATACATACACACACACACATACATACATACATACATACATACATACATACATACATACATACATACTAGAACCACGCGCGCGCTTCGCGCGCGCTTAGGTTCTGTCGAGTCACAGACCCAGGAATCGTTGTGAGAAGAAATTGGTGACGCGAAGCGTCGTGGGGGCGTCCTTGGACGTCTGGGGTCTCCTGGGGCCTCTTGAGGGGCCTCCTGGGGGCCTCCTGGCGGCCTCTTGGGGCGGAAGGCTCGAGCTTGCGGTTCGTGGTCCCCCTCTGGGCCCCCTCTTGGGCCCGTCTTGGGGCCCTCTTGGGCCATCTTGGGCGCCTCTTGGGCCGTCTTGGGGCCCTCTTGGGCTGTCCTGGGGCCCTCTTGGAAGCTTCTTGGGCCGTCTTGGGGCGGTCTTGGGCGCCTCTTGGGCCGTCCTGTAACGTCGGAAAGCCCAAAAGACAACTTTGTTGAACATGTACGTTTTACGAAGGGAATGGGCCAACTTTTGCGTCTGGGGGCCCTCTTGGGACGCATGTTGGAGGCTTCTTGGGGCGTCTTGGGGGCGTCCTTGGACGTCTGGGGTCTCCTGGGGCCTCTTGAGGGGCCTCCTGGGGGCCTCCTGGCGGCCTCTTGGGGCGGAAGGCTCGAGCTTGCGGTTCGTGGTCCCCCTCTGGGCCCCCTCTTGGGCCCGTCTTGGGG